ACTAGACAGGCTCTGATAAGGTCAAATTCTTCTAAGAATTCTTTGACCTCCAAGTTAAACACTACAAAACAATTAAAGCATGGTTCCATCGTGCTCCATTGCATTTATCTGCACTTGCTTCCGGTCTCATTGCAGTAAATAGAGCACTCGGACTTCGGCCTCGTGCTTTATTTTTAATTACTTGACCAGAAGCTCATGCGGATAAATCCAATGGAGCACTCGAACCCATGCTTTAATTAATACACAGATTGTTGTTCTTTTGTTTTGTTTGCTTCCTTTGTTCTGCATCTCTCTGTCTCGCTCCACTTTGCCCTCTTAGTTTATCTTATGTGATTGTCACTTGTCAAGTGTTAAGAGTCGTTTGCCTTTTTAATAATTATAAGTTCATATCACAATCATCTCAGCAGTGGTTTTGTCTATTTACTTCACGAAGTATCTTGTAGTTATGCAAAGTTACTGAATACGTTGAAGTGTCTCATTGTTGCCTGGACATGAAGACACAAGCTTTTTAATGACCTGGAAGCTTTGTTAATTCACTGTCGCGCTATTAATATATATATATATATTTAGTTATTTGTATGTCCACCCCTACATTTCTTCTATACACATTTATTTGGGGAAATAGCAAGCCTAAGCAACCACCCGCCCATGCTCTTTTACGTGAGTGGGTGTGGCAACTGCAAACAAATTAGCCACTTACTCATGGGACAAAGTTACTAGCTTATTAACAGTAAAAGAACTTAGACATACTGCCTAAAGACTTCTCTACAAGAATTAGAAGGTAGAGACAACCTCTAAAAATTTTTATTAAGGACAAAGTTGTACTTGCAAGGTGGTGAAATTAATTATAGGAATATTTTACACTGCTATGCTTGTTTTATGTGACATACTGCAGCAAACTGAATAAAGCAAACAGCATAACAAATGAAAGGATAGCTAATATGGAAATAAAATTTAATGCCAGTAATAAGTACACAAAATTTACATCTACCCTGGCAATAATGATGAAAATCTCTCAAATCTAGCAGAAAATAAAACGTTAAAGGTAAAATTATTAGTATTGTAATAATTGCTTTTATTTGTAATAGAATTACCAGTCACTCCATTAAAAGCTATTCCTAAAAGAACTATGTAACATCAAAAGTGCACAACTGTCACTAGCTCACTTGATAGAAGATGCATCACTTGTTACAAGTTTGAATATCTCTATTTGCTCTAAGCTATGAGACTAAACATCCCAAGAGTACAAACAAGATCTTCACCAATTAGAGGTTTTTAAATTGTACTAAAGGAATTCATGTTTAACAATGTTTTTTAGAAAAAAAAATGGACTTGCATCAATTAGCTCATAATGAAGGTGGAAATGTTTCATTGACATGGTGGGACCAATAGCATTGCCTTTGATGAAAGTACATATGACCAACAAAATGATAAAGATTGAACATAAATGAACACAATTCAGCCTTATACTTCGAAAATAGCTTGCAGATATTTTTCTCATACAACACCCTCTAAATCAATTCTGTCGTATCCATCTATTATGACACTTGTGTATGTCCCTGAGAAACAAGTCACTGTCTAGTGCCTATGAGTTACTACAAAAATCATGCATCAAAATACCTTTACAGCATACCCTCTGAGATTGCATACATTTGTATAAGTCTACCAGTGGCTTTCGTTATTAACAAGATCTCAGAGAAGCAAAACTGCACTCACACAGCAAAATTGACGCATCAATGATTCAGTAACGGATTGCCGGTGTTCTAATTTTTAAATGATGATTGTACTCTGTCACGGCTAAACGGCACTACTCAGTAAACGTTTTTAAGATGGTTGATTTTTGAGGACTACAGTCATTGTAAAAAGATGAAGCAGCCCAAAGCCATAAGAAGATTGAAGCCAAAGTATCGAAGTCAACATATTATCGTCACAAGAGTCAATACAATAAAAAAATTCAACTATTCTTGGAATTCAATAAAGCATTTTATTATTTTGTGAGTTGTTTAGCTTGAGGTTAGTGTATGCTGTGTTCTAAGTCTAATAATTTTTTACTATTACGCATGATGAGTGTAATAATAGACTATCGTAATCGACACAATAGCTTAATTAACACAAGTGATGTATCCAATGTAGCAAATGAAGGTAATGCTGACCCTAAAATCAATATTATTTTGTATAAATATATATATTGTATATTATATTGTATACTAGTAGGTCGCATATACAAAATATAGGACCTGTGGTTGGTGTTCGAGGATGTGATATAGCCCAAGGGCTGTAGGCCTGACGGCTATATAACATCCAAGGACACAAACCAAAGGTCCTATATTCTGTATATGGGACCGTTTTAGTATACTACATGTGATATATGGCACAGACCTACTGAAAAGTACAGATGGACTTCAAGAGTTTAAGACTAATTCATTATTGTTTCTTATAATCAATCAAAGTAATGTACCATTTAATAATTATGTAGCATGATGGGTGTGGTTAGTTAGTAATCATAATCATCATAAGTTTACAAGTGCATGGATCAAGACTCAAGTCTTCTTTCAGTACAGTAAAGTTTGAAATTAGAAGATAACAGCTGAAGTAAAGACTATTTTCACTAAGATGAAACTTATGTAGAACTGTGTCCCATAAGAGTTTGGCTCCACAAGATACACTCATTGCTTTCTAAGAGTGCCATAGAAAAGCTGATAATAGCGTATGCATAAGTATACATTTTCATTTTCTGGGATCTTAGTATAGACCAAGTGTGGCACTTACTGTTTTCTTGCTAGTAAAAAATAATGCATTTACTCTCATCTGTGGTGTTAAGGATTCAGGGTTTAAGCAAATTCTAGTTGCATGGGGACATCTTTCCACTTAAAAATGTATTCATTTTTCGTAACATTGCATCTTGCATCTACTAAATGACACTTAAAAATACAGGCATATCTTCTAGTGACACTCCAAGATGTTTACAGATAAATGATTTTACATCTTCTGATAATGTGCCAAGGTGGGAATGATAAATGTGCCTTAAGTTTACAATTATGAAGATCTATTAAGTGTATTCAAATGAACTTTGCAAAACCATGTAAATCAGTCACCTTTCCTTTTCCATAGCATTCTCAATATACAAGTGTGGGAGACAAAATGTTTTTTGGTAAATCTAATTTGGAAATAAGGAAGCATCGCATAAATAGGTCAACAAGTGATAGAGATCTCAAAAACTGTAGTGTGCTGAAGAACTGAATAGGTACCTGTAATCTTGTCTGTCACTATCTTTTATCTGTTTTTATAAAAATGAAAGAACAATGCTATGAACAGAAGCAACTGCTATGAAGACCACAGCAGGTGGATCAATTATATTTTTGATTGATACTCATTTTCAATTGTATGATGTAATTGTGGCAATTTTGGTAAAGTCAAAGCAGGTGGCCGATGATTGTGAGACATTGTGCTCTTTCAAAAAAATCTTGATGACTAAACACTTCCGGTGATGGGTGCGGTTAGACTGTACAGACGATATAAAAATAAATGCTCGACCTACCACCTATTTTTGAAATGTTAAAAGTTTGAATCTTGAAATGACTTTTAAGTCATGATTTGTTGATGTCAGTTCTAGCCAAGACTTTCCAAGACAATCTAAAATGGTACTTCCATTTATGAAATATATCATGTAAATTATTTCCATCGAGTATAGCAAGTACATATGGGCTTAGCTTATCATACCTGTCCATGTGCCATAAATAGTTCAGACCCTATGCATCTAATTATAATAGTCATAACAGTAAATTGTGAAATGTTATGATATAATGTCCTTTTCAAATACTTCGACTTTATTCTTGTTACTCTCTCTGGGTCTCACTCCCTCAAAAGTTTTATGACTGTGGCTCTTCTGTTACAACAACTGCATCAAGGAATTTAACATAACTAATAACTTGCTTTTCATA